CCCTGTGGTTTTCTTTGTGCACATAAAATTCAACACACAAGGCTTTAGAAAAATCTGGCTTTCCCCCCTGTGATCAGTTATTTAAACAGTGAAATGATTCTTTAAACTAAATTCTCAAAAGTGTATGTTCTTAAAAATTTAATGCCTGGGGTGGGGGTAGGGTGGCGGGCAAGGATCAGCCAATGGGTAGGTCAGTGATCCTCCAACTTTAGGGAGCCTCACTGCGGTGGAAGGCAGGACACAGTGACCTCAAAGAGCACATGGCTGATTCTGATGCCAGAGAGAGCCCCCACTGCAGGAACCCTGCCCTGGTCCTTTCCCTTGTTTGAGGGCCCCTCCTAGCCCCAGGACAAGGCTGCCTTTCCTGCCCTGTTTCCATCTCCCAAGGGAGGAACCACATGTAACAAGGTCAAGTCTTCAGGATGCCTCATTCCCACCCCATGCAGCTCTTCCCACCCCATGCAGCTCTTCCCACACAGGATTCTGGGCAAAGCAAGGCCTCAGCCAAGTCCCCAGCTTGGTCCCTCTTCTGCCAGGTGCTCAAGCAGCACGTACATCAGCAAGACTCGTGCTCTCCCTCAAGGAAGACAGATCTAGACCTGTCTATCAATTGCTTCCTCTACCAGCTGTGCTGAGCTTGCCGTGCACCATTTCATCTCATCCTTCCAGTAACCCCATTTAACAGATGGGAAAGGGAGGCTCAGGCAGGTTAGATTCTTATCTCAGGTTATTAGGCAGCAGAGCAAAGATTCAAAATCATATTCTCCTGACCCAGGTCTCATGTTCTCACAGGGATTCTGACCCATTTCATTCCATAGACCACACTAGGGTCTGGTAAAGCCCAAAGGACTCCTTCTTGGACTGTTGGTAAATGCATAAAACAAAATACAGACGATTACTAAGGAAACTAGTTATATTGAAATATTTGCATGATCTAACAACACATCTAAACAGTGCCATAATTTCAAGGGAGATCTGTAACTATTGTAATATGATGTAAAAACCTGTTGGTGAAAAAGTTTCAGGTACTGTGATTTGTGGCTTACATTCATAATGGAAGGAAATGCTAATTTTTTGTTAAAGCTGAAGGGAAGTAAATATGTCCTTTTTTCCATCCAAGTTTGTGAACCCCTGTATTTGATCCGCAGACCCTATGGGTGTAAGGATCCAGGTCAGGAATGCCTGGTCCCTTAGGATCCAGGCTGCTTTTGAGGCCCTTTAGTAAGGCCCAGTTCTGGTTCTGATATGGGCTATTTACTTCATGAGATGAGGTAGCGAGGCCTCTCCTAAGGCCTTGGGTTCTGCTCCACTGGCAAAGTCAGGACCTGCCAGGAAAGCAAGTTTGTACTTAATGCTAACAAGCCTCTCTGACACAGGGCCAATTCTTTGCCCAAACCTCAGAATGTACCAGGGCTGATGCTGGCAGCCCTTCCAATGGCCAGCACATGGCTTATTTGTGTGACAACTGGCTCTTCCACTCAACACATATTTAATGAGAACCCTACTTTGTGCCAGGTATTAGGGAGACCTGGTGGAGGTCACAGTCTGGTGGGAAGAGAGCCAAGAAGTGGGCCTGGTGTGGGCCCAGCACGGGAGACATGAGATTGGTCTTTGACCCATGTGGTGAGGTAGCAGGACTTAGTCTGGGGATTCTTACAAACCTGGACAATCCAGACAAGCAGCTGTTCAGCTAGGAAGGAGCAGAGGACATGGAAGCCCCTGTAATCGCCTGTCAGCATTGAGGAGGCCATGGGAGTGGTTTATCTGGAGGACAGTGAGAAATTGGGGGCAGGGAAAACAGCCGCAGCGGAGAGAGCAGACTAGAGTTGACCATTGAACAACCTGGGTTTGGACTGCGCTGATCCACGTACATGCTTTTTTTTTTTTTCCCAATAAATACTGTGAAAGTATTTTCTCTTCCTTATGATTTCCTTAATAACATTTTCTTTTCTCTAGCTTACTTTATTGTAAGAATACAGCATGTAATACAATAGTATACAAAATATGCGTTAATTGACTGTTATCAGTAGCTTCTGGTCAACAGTAGGCTATTTGCAGTTCAGTTTTGGGGGAGTCAGAAGTTATGTACAGATTCTCAACTGTGTGGGGCCGGCGCCCCTAAGCCCCCATGCTGGTCAGTGTACTCAGGGCTGCATCACCCCGGGAAAGGCGAGAACGCCTCCTGCAGATCGCTCTCTTCCTGTTGTGTATCTGAGGTGGCCAGGAGGGGAAGGGGGTAGGCAGAGCCTCTGTGGTCCAGGGGTTTCTTTATAAGTCAGTGCAGTCAGAACCACAACAGCAACAACAGAAAATTATAAAATAATGAAAGAGGACTTGCAGGGTGGTGGTCTCCTGAAAGGGTTCCTATACCACAGTCTGGCCCCTAAGATGTGCAGGACAGAAGTTCAATTTGATCTTTGCAACCAGAGACTGACTCATAAGAACCAAACCCATAAGAGGTTCCTGGTGGTTGACCAGAATCCATCCTTCTCAGTATTAGGATAACAGGTGACAGGTTAGCTGGTGAACATGGGATCTGACACAATAAAGTCGCGTGTTGAGAGGCATTTCATCCACCAAGCACATGGCCGATCTATTCCACGGAGCCCGTCTCTTGGGCCTCGGGATGGTGCCGGCCCCACCGCCTCCTTATTGAGCCACTTTCTCCAGCTGGTAACACCGTTGCTTAGGCTGCGGCTTCTTTCACAGTCAGCTAGACCGGAATCGAACTTCAGATCCCTGTCCTTCCTCCTGGTCCCAGGACATGTCTGACTCTGCTGCCTCCGAAGGTGTCTCCTGCAGCTGGAGAACCCCCTTTCCAGACCTAACACAGGCGCCAACCCTGCTAACACTGCCCACTTAGTCCCTCCTCTCCCGCTACCTAATTGGTGTCATGCAGAAAACCAAATTAAGGAACACGTTTTCAAAGAACCCTTGTCTGAGACAGTCTCCTATCAAAAAACAGATTCTGACATAGTTAACATGTGAGTGCTAGCACTAGCTAGCGAGGCCTTTCCCTGCCTAAAAATGCTTATCTAAGAAGAGCAGGGGTTGAAAGGACTTGATTTGAACAAATTGCGTGGGTCTTTAGTGAGTTCCTTCATTTCTCTGCCTCTCAGTGTCCTCTGAAAAGCTAGCAGAATCATGCTACTTTGCACAGTCTGTAAAAGTTAGAGACGGTGTAAGTAACACGCCCCGGATCCAGTTGACTCAATAAATGAGAGCTGCGTGGAGTTTTTAAATTTTTCTTTTCTAGATTCCCTCTCAGAATAGAACTATCCAAACTGTCCTTATTCCTGTCTTCCAGCAGCTTTGACAAGTCTGGCCACGTCCTTTTAGCTCTTCCTTTCTGTTTCGTGCACAGAAAGCAAGCCACCTAGCAATACTTAAACATAGCGACTTTCAATCTTTTTCATCTCGTGGCACATAAACTAATTACTAAAATTCTGCGGCACACCAAAAAATATATTCTTTGCTGACCTGACAAAAAAAATAGGTACAATATTGATTCATTCACACCGGATGGCTATTGTTTGTTGGCTGCTGTCATTTTTTTATTTGACAATCTAAGGGGAAAGAGGTCAGTGCCCCTGACTAAATAGTCAGGTATTGCATGTTTTAAACATTCTTGCAGCACACCAGTTGAAAATTGGTGCTTCAATAGAATGTGTTTGTTTTAAGGTGCAAGTTTTCCATGTTAATTTTTAGTGGTTGAAATCAATTTAAATTCTAAGAAATTGTTTTCTGCAATTAAGAGACTATTGAGAATAAAAGAAAGAGAATTCTGCTGTTTGAAACTGGGGACACAAGTTCCATAGAAACAGTGTTAACTCGGGTGCTCAGGGTCCCAGGCTGCCCACTGGTTTAAAGCCCAAACTCTGCAAACAACCTTCTTAAACCTTGTTCAAATGCTGAAGCAAATTCAGTTGTGGGGCAGGGGCTGAGATGTGATGTTTCTAGGAGCTTTGGGTAATGCCCATGCTGCTGACTGGCGACTCCACTTGGAGCAGAGGCAAGGACTGGGTGGGAAAAGTTGGGATTACTTAGGGTAAGAAAGCAAGTGAGGCACTGCCAGGGCTGGGACCTAGTGGGATGAGACCCAGGGATGGGACCCTGAGGATGGAGGGAAAGGGAGATGGGATTTGTGGCTGCTGTAACTCCCAGGGCTTCCTCACTGCTGTTTCTCCAGCCCCCAATGTTTGCCCGTTGCCCCCTTCGCAGCTGCTACCCACCAGGGTGGTCCTGCACTCTCCACCCAGCCGCAGAGCCTGGCCTTCCTTTGTTCCCTGGGCAGTCACACTATGCGCAAAGCTTTCCTGATGAAGCCCATTTCTACTGAACAGCCCAGGGGTCATAGGTTTAAGACCTTGTCTTCCCCCTCCCCTTGTTTTTTCCACTTAGATCCTACAGGGAAATGCCTAGGAGCACAAAGATAGGAACGGAGCCCCTCTTCCCTTGTCTCAGCTGCCCACCTTACCTATCACTGTCCCCTTTCCCCGGGGACTAAGAGCTGTGAGGGCAAGAGCAGCAATGGCTTCATCTGTGCACTCCTACAGTGTGCACTGAAAAGAGCACAGCCGGCCATGGGACTGAGGGGCTGGGACAGCAAAAAGGGCTTTTGTCATGAAATGAGTGAGGAAGAGAAGCCACTTGAACACTTGACTTTGCCGGGGTACATTTCCAGCAGTATCGTGACAGCTTTCCAGCTACCCGGGCTGCGGGCCAGGGGCCCCGCACGAGTCGTCCCCCCACCTGCTTAGGTGCAATCGAGCGGTATGAGGTGCTGGAATTTGCTTTCAGTCTCTTCAGGCACTTAGGCCTAGAAACCTCCCTGCTAGGGCCCTTCTGGAACAGTCCCATCTTAGCAACGTCATTAAGGTAATTTCACCTCTTACAAAAGTTGGGCTGTGTGAGTAGCTGTCACTTCGGTGGGAAACGGGGAAGAGGAGGACAGAGTATTACTAAGAAATCTAATACATGACCATGTTTTGTTTCTACAGATTTATCAGCAAGACTGTTGAAAACTTAACTGGCCAAGATGCCCGTCCCTCCCCCTCCAGCACCCCCGCCACCGCCCACGTTTGCTGTGGTAAGTGGCTCTTCGCCCTCCGTGATCCACACATGAAGCAGCCAAATGAAGTCGAACCTGGCCCCGCGTGTTTGTTTTACATGTCTTTGCACTCCGGCTTAAATATGACACAGTGAGCTTTCCAGGTGCCGGAGTAAGCCAGGACCTGAGATGTGGCGAAGGCAACACGCAGGGTTTCTGTCTAAGGCCCCATGCAATGCACTGTACCCTTGCGGGACGTGGGGCAGTTAGGTTTCCTTTGCCGGGTCCAGCAAGGGGCGCGTCCTATTCACTCCCACCTGCTGGCCCAAGACAGGTTCCCAAGTCTGTTCTGCACTGTTTCCACTCAAATGGGCCCGACTTCTAGCCTTTAACTTCTGGGTAGGACAGTCCAGAAACCCAGGTCTCTGTTGGAAAATGCATCCATGCAAGTGTCCTCCAGACTCACTCCTTTCTTTTTCTCTGCCTTTTGCCCTCTTTTTGCCCACTCTCTGTTTTTGACAAATATCCCCCACTCCCACCATTACCCCAAGTCTCCCTCATACACTCACATCCCCCCTTAAGTCTATTCTTATGTTTAGATGCCTACTTTCCAAAGGAATTTCTTCTCGGGGCTCCTCCTGGTCCTTGGTAGACCCGTCCTCACAAGTTAGTGCCCCCTTTTCCAGGAAGCTGGCAGCCCCCCCTCTGGTGATGCAGAGGCTCCCAGCCAAGCCCCATCACAAAGGCCTCCCCCAGCATGGAAGCCTTCATTGCTAAAGAGCCTCCCAGGGATGGGTCCTTCATTTTTCTTTTGGGGAATTGAGGCTCAAAGAGAAAAAATCTTGCCCAGGCTTCCATGGAACACATTTCTGTAGCCCATCTACAATTGGAGCCTAGTCAGAAGAATAGACCATTAATTAGCTCATTGCTATTTAAGGTATGGTCCTCCAACTGCTGGTTAGAATCCCCAAGGAGATAAGCGCAGAAATTGAGAGTAAGCATTTAGAAACACGTACAGCAACTTGATAGTGTTTTTCCTGTTGTTTTAAGATAAGTTTGAAAAGCTCTGATCTGGCTAACATAGCAGATTATATTTCCCCCAGAATGTAGGTTGTATACCATTGCTGGGTAGTACATCCCTTAATTTGTGTTTTATTTTAATGGTCATGTGTTTATTTTAATACAAACCAGTTTCCACGTGTGACAGACATAGGTACACGCCAACTTCCAAGTTCGTATGCTGGGCTCTTAGTGTCCCCACTCCCTACAATAATCCCGAATAAGCAAGAGCCCAATTTCATAGTAAGGATCTCTCCCAGGAATCCTGAAAGAATAGAAAATACTCAAATATTTTAAAGTAGCACTTTTTTTGGCTCTCCAATCTCTGTGAACTAAGCTTTCAGAGAAACATCTCAAGCCAGAGAGACATGCGGGAGTTTGGGGCATAATGGAAATGTCACATACCTCGCTTGTGGTGGTGGCTACATAATTATATACGTTTGTCAAAATTCGCAGAACTGTACATTTAAAGGGTGATTTTACTATGTGCAAATTATACCTCAAATCTCCCTTAAAAAGGAAAAAAACTTTGGCAATATAAATGGAGGGAATTATTTTTCTCAAACATTGGTGGATTAAAAAAATAATGCAGGAGACCTGTTTTGCTAGAAAGAGTTTTCTCCTTGCCCCAGGCTAGTTCTAAAAGATAAGAAGCAGCTGTTCTTCAGGACACATTCTAGAGAACGAAGCCTCATAGTATCCTGCAGAGTCTCCCAGACTTTTAGCCATCCAACCCTGGCTTTGCTGGTTCCTGCAAGCCTGAATTTTCGGACTTTTATCAGGAACTGACTCTACCTGCATTAAAAATAAACGTAATTTATTTCTGCATCTGTTCCCAAATGTCCAGGTCTTAAAAAGACTGATACTGGGTCTAAAACTTGTGGAGAATTTACAACCTAGCACCAACAACCTTAGTCACAAGCTTCCAATACTCTCGCTGTCCCCACTGAGTGCTGTAGTACTTGGTTTTCATTCAAGAAATGAATACAACTTTGCATGGTTTCCTTTCAGGCCAATATAGAAAAGCCTGCCTTGAATAAGTCGGAGCAGGCTGGGAGAAATGCTCTCCTCTCTGACATCAACAAAGGGAAGAAACTAAAGAAGACCGTCACCAATGACAGAAGTGCACCGATACTGGACAGTAAGTGAAGGAGATAAATGGTTTATGGCCTAACAATCAACCCTACCCTTCCAACCAAAAAAAAAAAAAAAAAAACCAAACTTTTTTTTTGGTTAACAACAGCTGCAAAGCTAGCAGAATAAGGGACTGTTATCACTCATTGTAGGCCACGGGTTCGGCTTGGGTTCCCTCTAATGCTGCAGGAAGCCAGTATAATAATTCTTTGTCTTAGACACACACAGCAGTGATTCTCTGAATTATTCAAACACTTTCTGGAAATTAACTCTCTGCTCCTTGCACCACAGATCAAAAGGCAGCATGAAACAGGGAAAGAGCCCTAGCCTTGGAATCAAAGGATGTGGTTTTGAGGCCTGGCACATCCATCATTTACATCTCCAAGCCTATTATCTTCATTTGTTAAGTGGAGATAATACCTATTCTACTCTCCTCACAAATTCATTGTGAGCATAAATGAGACAATTATTGTAAAGTGTTTTGTGTTGTCGGCAATGTGAAATTCAAGTGTAAGATAGAATTATTAGGAGCTTGGAGAAAGGAAATGAGATCACAACTTTGCTTATCTACCCACTGTAAGTCTGAAAACTTTTCTAGAACAAGGCATGGTGTGTATAAGCAAACAAGTACCCACCACACAGGGCGACTTATTAACATTTACAACAGAATAAACTATTACACATAACTATAATCTACGGAGAGTTAATAATCAGGCCTCGAGACTATCTCCTCCCATTCCTAGATGTTTCCATTGCCAGCCACATGTCTCCAGAATCCACCCTAGACCACAGATCCCATTCAGACTCAGTAGGGAACAGACAAGTGAGCACTGATGCAGGGTTTAGCCAAGTGGAGGATGAGAGGACCTTGGAAGAATTCCTAGGGAAAGTGCCTAATAAGAGAAGGAGGACCAGGGTTCGATGAGGACATTGCGTGGGAAGCAAATGGGGAAGAGCAAGACCAAGACAAAGGCCTTTGGATGTTGTTCTGTTTCTGGGCCAGGTGGCTCAAGTAAGAACGCACCGCACCTCAGAGGGAACTATGAGGTCCTTGACTCTTGATACAGTTTGACCTCTAGGTCAGAACTGCTGTGGTTAGTGTATAATCACTAATCCCTTAGTCCTGCTGACCCATGTCACAAGGTTCTCCCAAGGGGAATCCCAGCACAGTCACTTCCATAAGGAGAGCCGTAGTCTAACCATCAAGTCATGATGCCTGGGTATGGGGACAGAGGAGCTTCACAAATAGCCAACCTCTAGGACAGAGCCCGGTGGTTCTTTCCACCATGAGCGGGAGGCTAGGCTCCGAGAGGTGGATGTGAGTTCCCCAGATGTTAAAGGAGACTGGACAGTCTGGGGCCTAGTTCTGAATCCACTAGTGGAAACTTATTATATTCATCAAGGTCCACTTCTCCTCCCATTAAGTGGAAATAAATGTTAGCTCTTCTCCCTTCCAGCTGCTCACTTAGCTTGGTGGACACAAATGCATGTCCCAATGTATGTCCTTGTTATCCATGCAATTAATTGGACACCAAGACTGTTGTCACAAGCTCTTTGCAAGTGACACAGTCCATCTATGGTTTTGTATTTGTTTGCAGGTGAAACCTCCCTGGGCTCTATCTCAAATTGTTACCATGGTTATGCATGTTATAACTCTTAAGGCAGCCTTGTCCTGCAATTTAATTACTAACAAAGTGACCTGTGCCAATTAGCTACCTTCATCTGCTTTAGCTTCTCTACTGAAAGACGTACTAATGGATGATGTCTGATAGGACATTGATCTCTTTGAATATTTAATACCATTTAAAGGTGTCCTATGTAAATGCAATATTCCAAAATGCATGATTCATTAATGAATAATGCTTGAGTAACAAGGGCATTAACATTATTGACAATTATTCAAATCAGTAAAATTTCAAATTTCTTCTGTCAGAGCTCCCATAAGTATCTGGAAAGCTCTCCACCTAGGAAAGATACAGAGCTAACAAAGACATGACAAATCTAATCCAGAAAGAAGAAAACACAGATGAATAACACTAGAACTCAGGAAGCAGATAAGAGATTCAAAGCAGATTTTTAAAAATTAAGGATGCTATGATGAAGTTATATGCCAAATCATTTTGAAATCTTAAAGAAATTAATTTTCTAAGAAAAGTATCAGTGTACTAAAATTTACTTCTGAAGCTTCAATGAGCAAGGAAAAGTTTGAAAACTTTATCAAATTACTTTCCCTCTAAAAACATTTAGAGCCAGATGATTTTATCAATAACTTCTTTCAGATTTTAAGAAACAGCTAATTCAAATGCTGTATAAATTATTCTTTCCCAAACACAGGAAGAGATGGAAAGCTATCTGACAGGTGTAATGAGACTGGCATAATCCTAATATCACAATTTGACAAAGGCCATATAGAAACAAAAAGAAAGCTTATATGTCAGTGTTCCAGGGGACCTGTGACAGTGTTGAAGCGTTTTAGTTGTCACAGCTAAAATGGTAAGGGAGGGGCTCCTACTGACATCTAGTGGGTGGAGGTCAGGGATGCTATAAACATCCTACAGGGAACAAGACAGCCACCCACAAGAGAACTATCTGACCCAAATGTCAGTTGTTCCAAGGGTAAGAAACCCTACTATAAGAGAGGGTACTAACTAAAAAGAACAAAAAATATAACTCAATATGTACATTAAAAGAATAATTCACCAAAACCAGGGTGTATCTCATTTTTAATGCTAGAATGTCTATAAACTCATATCAAATAAGAAAAACCATATAACTTTGAAATATTAGAGACATTTTCATTAAAATCAAAATGTTTTTCTTTAGCAACATTAATAATTTACATCGTTATGGAAGTTCAGTCATCGAAGTTATATAAAACAGAAATAAGATACACAACTATTAGAAAAGAGGGGGCAAAACCTTTATTATTTGCAACCATATGTCTACTAGAAAATCCAAGATAATAATTTTTTGTAAATTTTAATTTAAAAAAGATCGCAAAGCCTGGCTGGGCATGGCTCAGCAGTTGAGCATCGACCTAGGATCCAAGAGATTGCAGCTGGATTCCTGGTCAGGGCACATGCCTGGGTTGTGGGCTCCATCCCCCGTCAGGGGTGTGCAGGAGGCAGCCGATCAATGACAACTCTCATCATTGATGTTTCTGTCTCTCTCTCCCTCTCCCTTCCTCTCTCTGAAATCAATAAAGATATATTTTTTAAAAATAAAATAAAAATAAATTAAAAAGGCCTTAAAGTGGTTTATTAGATATCAAATGAAATGTTCTGATGCTAATAATAACCAATCACAAAATTTAATAGAAAAAAGCATCCCTTTTATAATTTTAACCAACAAAAATGTATTCAAAGTAACCCTAAGAAGCCTGTGTGACCTGTATCAAGAAAACTACAAAACTTTACTGAATAAATCAGAAGAAATAGAAAATAAACCATGTTTCCATAAAGTCTAAATTTTATAAAGTGTGTCAGGTCTCCAGTGTAGATCTCATGTAATACTCATCAAAGACTGAACAAGGTTTTCCAAGAATAGAACTTTAAACAATGCTTAACCTCATAAAATATATATAATAAATTATTAATAGATAATTTTATTTTATTTTGCTAATTAATTAATGAGATGATGCTGTTAGTATGATGTTATCAATTCAAAGGAAAATTCAAAGTACCATACATATACAGGCAGGTAAGTGCTGAAATGAATTTACAGATAGGTGCAAAATGGGCTAATATCAGTTGCGTTCCACTGAACACAACCAATTTGCCTTTCTATGGACAAATACCATTTGTATTGTTATTTTTTTTACAATTTACGGAGTTGTGAAATAGTTCAAAGACAATGGGAAATAACACAGAAGGCTAGACTTGGTCATCTTTTTCTTTCTTCTTCCTTTCTTTCTCTGCCCATTTCAAAAGCTTTCAGAACTTTTTGGAAATAAATGCAAAATAAAACAAAATATTTGCACTGTCTCAAATTGCAAAGAATCTTTAAAATGTGAAAGCCTACCATTGGGCTTAATGATCTTAAAAAATTGGAATCAACCTACAAGGCCATCAAATAAGTAGATGGTTACATAAGTTACAACACATTCATGCTCTGAAACACAGTGCAGTCCTTTAAACTCGTGCTTTTAAAGAATATTTAATGACATTGGAAATGCTAACAATAAAGTGTTAGGTGAATTAAAAAGGTGAAAAACTATCCAGTGAATTTTGGTCTTAATTTTAAGAAAAAAATATAAAAGTGAAAAGATACTGGCAGAGAAAACTATACCAAAACAGTAGATGTTTCCAAGGAATAAAATTATGATATATTTTATTTTATTCTTTTTGTTTTTACTCTTTCCTTTCTTCTCCCCTTTTACTGCATCTCTCCCTCCCTTGAGAATTTGTTTGGAGATCCCTTCATTTGTCAAGTAGATACTCACTCATATGGGGCAGCTGGCCAAGCGGGGGTCTGGGGGCAAGGCACCACCTACCATTGATTCTTCCACCCGGGGCCTGTGACAGGCCGGGAGTGGGAAGATCCCTCCTTTTCTGACGAGGGCGGGTGAATCCTTACATCCTACACTTTAATCAGATCCCAGTTGTCTACCAGGGGCCCAGGTTTTACTGTTATTGTTTACTCGGGCTGGCAGGCTGGTAGTGTTTTCAAACCCGTGTAACGATTGTGTTTCCTCCTCTGCAGAACCTAAAGGCCCTGGAGCTGGTGGCGGTGGTGGCTTTGGTGGAGGCGGCGGATTTGGCGGAGGAGGTGGCAGTGGAGGTGGTGGTGGTGGCGGCGGTGGCGGCAGTTTTGGAGGGGGTGGACCACCCGGTTTGGGGGGGCTGTTCCAGGCTGGAATGCCGAAGCTGAGATCCACAGCCAACAGGGATAATGGTAAGTTTCCTTCTCTCTCGGTAACTGAAGACCAGAGTTTGGTGGTTTGGACATGTGGCATCCCCTCTAAGGCACCACGCCCTTCAAAACATTTCCGATTGCTTGAAATGTTAATACTTTTATAAGAGACTCTATTTAGCATCTTTTTAAAAATTATTATTAAATCGGTATCAGACAGCTCCACTGAGCTGTTCTATATTTATCAGGTGTCCTTGGGGTAACTTATGCTTTTTTGTACTTTTCTGAAGGGTGAGCTAGAGTGGGAAGAAAAGAAAGGAACAAATGAAACTTGCCACCCCTGGAAACTGCCTGGTGACCTGGCAAATTCAATTTCTTTGGGTGGTAGCCTGACCCAGCTGTCTAGTATAGTAAATAATTGTGAGCCACTTTTCACACACACTGTGGAGCTTGTCATATGGAATAGAATTACATATCTCACTTGATCTAAAAAGGCGTTTTGCATGACAGACATTTGGCATTTCAGGGTTAGCAATTCAAAGTCTTCTCTTCAGGGAGCCAAGGAAATGAGTCCTACAGGACTGTGAACCTGCTGGCAGAGGGGAAAGTTGAGCTGGTTGTGCCTAAGTAAAAAACCTTGCAGAGTGCATGAGGCACTCTCCTGACAATTGCGAAGTTCAGGAAATTGTCCCATAGAACTTTCTTTATTCATGTTTATTGTTAGAATAATTTTATTTCTAATTCTGTGATCTTTTAAACTGCCCACTGGGAAAAGTATGAAATGTTCACATTGATATGAAGATAAAGTCACTGAGTCCTCTGGGTTAGCTGTTTTAGCATTAGATGGTCAAAATCTAGAAAGAGACTCAATAATGTGAGAGAGTCTATCTTGCCAGAACTGCATTTAAATTTAAATTTATTTATTTAAAACCCACCAAGAAGATTTGAGGCAGCTGACAAATGCATACATTTAGCACTTCAACAAAAAGTGAAGAAATTAAGGCAAAAGACAACTGGAAGTAAAAAAATAAAATAAAGGTGGAATTTAAACTGGTGCATAAAATGGTGTGCCGGAAATATATGTGTTCACAGTATACTATCCACGTAATGGAGCCTGTCCACGTTATGTAGTAACTGCGGCTTTAATCTGCACTTGGAAGATATAACTTATTACAACTTGGGGACATAAAAATATACCACACAGTCACGGACACTAAATCTTTTTTCTAGTACTAAAGTAAAAAAAAAAATTCAGAGTTCACATTACTCCATTGTATAAACCCATCCAAGTGTCTGTCATTGTGCCTTGGATAAAATCTGAACTTTTCACCTATGAGGCTCTTTATGACCAGACCCCTGATGGCTACTCAGGCTCCATTTCCTAGGGTTCTCTTTCCCTCCATGCTCACTGTACCCCAGGCACACAGGCCTCGGTTTTCAGTTTGTTTGGTTTTTCATTTGAAGCTCATTCCCACCTCAGGGCCTTTGCCCCTGCTGGTCTGTGGCCTCAACTGCTACTCTGCATCTTTCCGCGGCTGGACTCAGCTCAGATGTCACACCCTTAGAAGAGCCACTCCATCTATGTCGTCATCCCCAGGCACTCTTCATGTCATCAGCCTACTTTAGCTTCTTTTTAGCACTTGTAATATGCTGAGAATATTTATATGTTTGCTGGTTTGTTATCTCCCCAAAAAGAATGTAAACTATAAGAGAGAGGATCTTTTCAGTTTTGTTTAGGCCTCTGTCTCTAGCATCTAGAAAAATGGCCAACATATAGCAGGTGCTCAGTAAAGATTTAGTACATTAACTAGATAATGGTAACTGGTAGAAGTTTTCAGAGTAACCATTTTTTGAAAATTATCTTGGGTTCCAGGAGATTCTGGGGGGCGGGGGCTGAATTTTTCTGTAACCTTGGTTCCCCTTTAGTTCCTCCCTTCGTTGAACCAAAGCAGTTTAATATTAATTCTGTAATAGGGTTTTCCTGCCCTGCCAGTGTTGAAGTAGAAGTTGACCCAGTGGGGGAAAGTCATGTAGTCTTTTACTTCTTTGCAGATTAAGACCATCCACTGGTTATCGACTCTTTCAATTAAACTTTAATGGGTTTTTTTCTTTCTTAGTTCCGTCATAACTCTGCCATTATATTTTTCTACCTTCTCTTGGGAATTTCTCTTCAAAGAGACTAGGTAATCCCTCCCATGTGAAGATTTATACTGGGATAAATGGCTAAGTTATTTTTTTAAGCCTAAGAGGTACAAGGGCAAGGGGACAGGGATGGGGATGGGGAGGAAAGAAAGTCATTAGCAGGAGTCCCATGTGGCACAACTGTCCTGGTCTTGCCCTCTCGTGATGAACAGGGATCGCTCCAGAACTCTTTCCAGCTTCATCTTGGTTCCTGTCCGTGCATAAGGCCAGGAGATGGCTCCAAAGTCCTTCGGAAAGCTGACAGGCTCTAGAACCTCAGACTCAAGGCAAACAGAGGCCGCGATCCGCTGCCCTTCCTCCAGGAAAGACCACACAAACCCTGGTTTACAGAAATAGCAGTGACCTGTATTTTATAGCATCTAGCAAAGGGCTTCCAGGAGCTGGGGATACACTCTAGGTCTCTGGTTTCGTTTAAGGTTCCTAATTTTCGAACTGAAC